ATTATTATTATTATTATTATTATTATATAAAATAATTATTACAGTGATAATATTTAACATTTTTGAGGCTGTTATGTTTTAGAAAACTGTATTATAATTGTTGTTATTTAAATTCTAAAATTACAATGGAAAAATGTAATATAAACTGAAATATAATCCGTGAAGTTATGTGGTTCTGAATGACTCAGTAGATTTCTTTATGTGTGATATTGGAGTTCACAACGGGCGAATGAATAACCTGTAAATAAAGACGTGTTTACTCTTTATTTTAATAGTCCTTTTCCTTGTTTATTATTAAGGTTATTCACATGCTCTCTCTCTCTCTCTTTCTCTCACTTCCTCTCTCTCTCTCTCTCTCTCTCTCTCTCTCTCTCTTTCTCTCTCTCTCACTCTCTCTCTCTCTCTCTCTCTCGTCTTTTAGGAAACTACAAAAACCACAAACTGACCCACAGCGGAGAGAAGCAGTTTAAGTGCAATATCTGCAACAAGGCCTTCCACCAGGTGTACAACCTCACCTTCCACATGCACACTCACAACGACAAGAAGCCCTTCACCTGCCCCACCTGCGGCAAGGGCTTCTGCAGAAACTTTGACCTTAAGAAGCACATCCGGAAACTGCACGATGTTTCTCCAGGACCCCCCTCACCGCCCACCCCGATTGCTCACCCGCAATGAGCCTCAGCTCGGCCCTCGCGCCCGCGGCACAGACCCCCTCCATCTCCTGCAGCTCCCTGCGGCTACAGGCTCTTAAAAATAAAGGTGCCAGAAAAAAGGGTTCTCTCCAGTGACGCCGCAGAAGAACCTCGGTCCGCTTCCTAGAGAACATTTCAATGGATGGTTCTTTAAAAAACATGTTGTAAGTGAGATGTGAGTGTGAAGAACTATTCTAACGTTTAAAGAAGCTCCACGCAATGGTTCTATGGCAATTCCGAGAACCGTGTCCGTCCAAGCCAAGAACCACTTAGGAACCTTTATTTTTAAGAATGTGCTTCATGATCATCGTCATCTTTTTCTTCATCTTTATCATCCAGCATGCAGGACTAATTTACCGACACCAGACATCGAACAAACACGGCTTTTTTTTTTTTTTGAGACTCGTTTGTGAAAATGAGCTTTTCACTCTCAGGGTAATCACTGTCACTGTCACTGTTACTATGTTGTACAATAGACTTTTTATTTATTTGAAATTGCAATGCTGTCGTTAACTTAAAGAGAGTGAGATCAGTTATGCGGATAAAGAACCGCTGTGTACATTTCTGCATTTTGTATAAAGTGTCTGTTATTTATAGTCCGTCCTTCTTTATCGCTCATGCTGTTTGCAGGTTTGATTGTTTGTTTTTTCCGTTGTTAAATCAGCGTGAATTATGCAAGGGTTTGTTTGTAAATAATTACAACTGACATCAGATTTCTCATTAAATCGATAGATTATAAATCATTATAACGAGGGGAAAGACAATAAAAAAGCATATGTTTTATGTCATAGCGTTTCCAGCTATGTGTGTTTGAAGCGTGTAATCTGCCTTTCGTGCTGCTGTCTGACGGCGTTTCGGACCCAGTAATGGAGGAGTAATGGGACTCGTGCCTAATGAGAAAATGAACCATAATTAGGGAATGGAGATAAACAGTGTGGATGGAGGGGCTGGTGGTGGAAGGAGGAGGAAAGGGGGGGGCGGGGTGAGGACCACCGCGTCTCAGTCCTGTGAGTGTGACGGTGAGTGTATTTGTCCCTGTGTGCACTGAGGAGCTGTGAACTGTGTCGTGTCTGAGAAGAACGGCCTGTGCAGGAGAGACAGAAGAGCCCCTAGAGGAGAGCATTAAGGTCTATGCAATGCCAACGATTTATTACTGTGACTGTATTACTGTTTCAGAACAGCTGATTTAAAATAAATTGATTACTGTCAGTAACATAATCACTTTGATTATGGTTGTGATAATGACCTTCATCCTCATGTCGCAAATTATGATTATTCCGTGATTGGAGCGCAACGCTGCGGGCTTGTGAGGAGTTCAGAGGACTGATAAACAACACAGTTCAGCTTAACGCCTTAACCCATTCAGTGCCGGGTCTGAGATTTGGTCTATGCAATGTGCGAGCTCAGTAAAGCATCTTTAAAAATTAAAATAAAAAAAAACTAAATGGCTAAATTTGTTTTATTAAATATCATATTTTTACTCATTTTGAACGACAGAAAAGCCATGTTTGATTGTGAATAAAAGCATTAAACAAATCACATACAACCAAAAAACTAAACGCAATTCCATCACTTTGGGCCAATCAGAACACGTTCTGTAGCACTCGCCTAAAATCATAGGACATGAGTGTGTAAAGCGAGTTGGTTCGGTGTGTTTAGTCCACAGTAAAGGATCAGGACTACAGCGCAGATCACAGAGCCTCTGAAACCTGCTCTCAAAGTCTGCGCCAGGAGCCTCACACTGGCAGATAGGAAGAGACTGAGCAGGAACAGTTTCCGTTCATCGAGATACAAACAGTGTAGCTGTTCCCTCAAAGGTGCAGTGGTTTTAAGTTTCCATTTATCTAGATTAAATGTTTTTTACCTAAAGGAAAGAACATTTTGGTACCTATTAATAAAACTGAATAGTAAAATAAACAGGCTAGAGACGAGACGGGGTTGTGGAATCAATACAGCTTTAAAAATGTAATTTGAATAGAATATGTAATATGTAGGTAATGAAAGGGTACCCTTGAGTTTTCCACCCCAGTGACAGTTCAGTGCCTTTTTTTCTGAGTGTACAGCGGTTTAATCTCCAGATGGTGATGATAAATAAACCGCCAGGCTCACACAGTCCGCTCCTACCCGCGAGGATGTGAGTTTTCCGGAAGAAGACCCCAAATACAAACTTCTCTCCCACGTTCAGCACCGCCACCATGAACAGCTCCATCCGCGCCGTCGCTGGTCCTGCTCTCAAAGGGGAACTCCACCGATTTTTTCAAAAATTTCTACAGAATTCAGAATTCAGAGTGGTTTGATGTGAAGTGCTCATTCCTAGAGAAACTCACCGATTTATCGATTTCTGTACAGTGGTGGTGATCGGAACCAGGGGTCGCCATGTCTGCAACACAAATAGAGCCATTTAGTTTACTATCCGAAACCACCAGTAAAATCTACACGTGTCTCTCAGTTTGTCTGATCAGTGTTGATGATGGTGAAATTGTGCTAAATCTAAAAAAAAAATACGATTTTTGAGGAGTATTGTGCCTCGCAACACCCTGAGTGTACCATCAATGAGTGGATTAAGGAAAACACATTTTAGCCTAAAATCTGATTTTAAAATAATCTTAAATGTATGCTGTAATATGTTTGTTAGAATTTGTGTAACAGCTTTCTGTGAGGTAGCTTGTGAAGACATTGAACTCTTCAGATATCTGGTTCCTATCACTAGCACCGTGAACAGGTCTGACTCTGTAAGTTTCTCTAGAACAGAGCATTTCACACCAAACCACTCTGAATCACTTTGTTCACATCTTAGCCATTCAATTCAACAGAAATCTTGAAAAATCGGTGGAGCACTCCTTTAAACTTGCAGCTCCGCTCTAATCTAATCTACACACTCTTAACTACACTAGGTCTGACTGTTGGATCACGATCATATCTCTGCTCTCTGCTCTGTTTATTGTGTGAGACGAAACGTTGAGGCTAATTAGCATTAATATTAGTGGCACCCTAAAAATTAAAACCTCAGTAATAAGGACAGTGAAAAACAAGCTTAATTATTATGCAGGGCTGAACCGTCTGTCTCAGAGTCATAGAGCTGGTGAGCACACGGTGTGGGTGGCCAGGTGAGACCCAGCGATTTTACTGGGTGACAAACTGTTCGGAAAAAAAGATGTGAGGCAACATAACGAGAAAATTATATTCGGCTGGATAAGAAGCCAACCTGGAGCATCAGCAGGAACCTACACTCTGATGAAGTCTAGCCAGCATCATGAAAAACACATGCCTGTTGATGGTTCTTCAAAGCTTCTTTAGTACAGGGAATGGTTCTGCTTAGAACCATGAGTATATAGAACTATTTCATGCTTACAGGGTTCTTTGCGTGGTGAAATGGTTTTTCAGACTGATGGAGAATGTGTTGTATATGACTCTATAGGGAACCAAAAAGGATTTTGCTACTGTTACGATGTCAAGCTTGTAACAATAGAAGAACCCTTTTCGGTTTTGTATAGAATCATTTACAACACCTTCTCCGTCAATCTAAAGAACCATTTAAGCAAACGGTCAACTCATTGTTCTAAATAGGACCATTGGCTTTACTAAAGAACCCTTAAATAACCATCTTTTCAAGCATTGTACATGATAAATGATGGTAAAGGTTAGTTACTCGCTTTTGATTTATTTATTATTGTTATTATTATTATTATTTTATTTTTTGAGGCACCTGATTTTACTATATTATTACGATATTTCCTATTTCATATAATGTAGCTCACAGAGCAGCACCGCTGAAGTGCGCTGGGCAAATTATTAACGTGAACGTTCTATAAAGATTAATAAAAGAATAGCCATAATTGATCATGAAACTTAGTTTTACTTGGTGAAAACTAAACGTGATTTTAGTCCAATAGGTGTTGCGAAAATATTATATGTATTGTTCCCTGTACTATTCCTACTCTCTGCTGAAAACTGTTAAATCATCAGTCAAAGTACTGTTACAGTAATCCATATAGATGTTAAATGTTTCCTGATGTACACAGTCAGCGGCTTTCTTAATCAGTCCGACCAAGACATTAAGATTTTGAGTTCACTCACCTGTAAAATAAGCTGATTACTGAGAGCTGATTGATAACTGATCGATAACTGCCCTGATGGCAGATTTTCACTGAACTTTACTGATGACTGCTTCAGTGGTGACGGCTGACTCTCTTGCTTTTCTAACTGGGGTGGTCAGAAGCAGGGCCACGTTTTACAGGAGGGTGGCGCTGGACACACCACCGTTACTCTCTGGCATTTGTACATAACGTCTAATGCTTTATATGTCAATATTAAAGTACAAAAAAACAAACAAAAGGAATTACACATGTGGACACTTTGGAGTGTGGACAGATAATAATCACGTAATGTTCATACAAATAAAAGGTAGTGAAGTTAGCTGTTAGGCTACCTGCTCCACTAAGCACTGCTGCACACTTTGGTACAGCTCAATGTACGTTTTTTTCAACCGTCCTACTGCTCAACAGCTGTCCTTATCTCATGTAATTTCAGAAAGTGGAAGGGAACACGTGCCCCCCCAACGAAAGTGCACCAATGATAATGTCCTATCTTCTTTTGTAAGGTAATGCATTTATTAATGTATTTACTTATTTGGGAATTGTATTTTCATAGAAACTGTGGTTACATCATTTAGCAGTTACAGTAAGCAGGTGACAGTACATTAAATGAGCACATCAATCAAACAAGTAAAAAGAATACAAATATGAAAAATGCAATGCGCAGCCAGTACATAATTGTTTAAAGATAAGTATAAATGGAGTATAAATAAATAAATAAATAAATAAATGCTCCACGCACATTAAGGAGTATCCTGAAATATTTATGTAGATTTAATTACCAACAGGGCCCATCATACATATTTCTAGCATTTATTTATTTATGTATTTGTTTATTTTTCCCCTGAGGTCCACTAATGATGTTTATGTGGATCAATGTACCCAAAACAGTCATAACTATTTTTACACAACCATTTCCTAACCTCTCGTTATCCCTTAAGCCAGGCGTACACTTTGCGATTTTAGTCCGATTTTAAGCCCGATTTGGTCGGAGCCGACTGAATTTCATTATCGGGCCGAATTTTAGCTTCATCGGCCGTCGTTTGCCGTGCAGTGTGAGAGGGGAAACGATGCCCGATTAACTGCCCAAACGAGCTCCGATTGAGCAGTCGGACGATCGGATGGATTTCTGACATGTCAGAAATTTTGGTCGCTTGTCTCACAGTGTGAGCAGCCTCGCGAACCGATTTCTCAAAGTCGCACCCAAAACCACACACAATCACAACCACCGCTCCTGCACAGAGGCAAAAAAGTCCACATTTGTGGCACCAGTGTCCATATGTGACGATTTTGCTCCATCTGAGTGAGTTGAATTGCGAGGTATAAATAAATAGTGTTTTGTTGTCTTTGAAGATCTGCCTGTAGACCGCCTGCTCTTCAGCTTCAGTGCACAGTGTGGCACAAGTTGACAAAGCTGATGTAGCAGTTTGTCAACGGCTGAATCTCAAACGGCCCACTACTTCCTATGTAGTACACTATGTAGTGTACTATGTAGTGCACCTATGTAGTGTTTTGGCTTCTACTCCAAAATAGTGCGTTGTTTGTCCAGTACGGAACTGTGCACACATGGCTGAACCTCAGAAGGCTATTTATTAGACATGTGATGCACTTTATGGGTGCAGGAGCCACTACTTTAATATGCAGTGCACTATGTTGAGATGCAGCCAGTGTCTTGATCAGGACATCGGAGGCGCAGCGTGTTGTTTCGAATGAAACAGCTTTATTGCAGACAGAGCGTCTGTAGGGTCCGCGTTTCACGTGCAGTGCGAGCACCCATGTCGCGTCGTGTCAGTCGGACCGAGTGTTTTCGTACAGTGTGAGCACATAAATCGCAGGCTTTGGCCGCACACGAGGGGCGATTCAAACGTACAGTGTGAGCTGTCATCAAAAATAAGATTTGTAAAATCGCACAGTGTATGCCTGGCTTTAAACACGATGGTTTTGTTACTGCGCCTTTGAAACTGATATATGTAAATGAGCTAAGTTCTGATTGGCAGCCTTATATTGTGCCTTATTTAAAAAGCAGCCCAGGCAGAAACACTTCCGCCAAAACCTCATACTACCATACTTTACATGCTACGCTAATTAATGCACTTGCAGTGGTGTAGTATTTTTGACATACTATTTAGTATGGTAGTGTGCGGGGTTTTTTTTTCTTTTTTTGACCTATTCACTCTTAATACTCTTAACTTCAGTATGAATATGCAGAGCTAAACATCTGCAGGCTGAATAGGCGCGTGTATGTAAATAAGTCGGTAAATGTAAAACAGGCTGCTTTTGCAGCCTAGACTAGAGACTGATGAGTAAAGCTTACGTTTTGGAACTTTGATCGTGTTTTACATACTACATCAAAGTCTTTATTTGAGATAAGTGAGGGCAATTCAGCGGTAGGGCCTCTGAACCCTCAGCTCTTGGTGTGAAATAATGAGTGCCGTATTTCCGAGAGGAGACAGTGCAGCTGAGAGCTGAGTACGCGCGTGCAGTCTGCTCGCTCCTGCCTGCTGAAGTCATAAGAGTGCGACGCGGGCTGCAGAAGGCAGATCCTGAAGCTGCGCTCTGATTGGTCAGCAGATGGGCTCGGCTCACGTTACACACCCACATTTTTACAGATTTCACAACAGCTGAACACCACAAAGTTTGTCATTAGTACACGCGTGCTGCGTGTTCGACGAGTGGACGGTCTGTCCTTCCTAAGACGAGTGTGTCCTGCGGTGTTTCTGTCTATTTATCTCCTGGGTGTCAGCCGCAGACCCGCCGCTGTCTCTGAGTACCACCACGTTGCCCTTTGCTTACTGTGCACCTTTGCTTCGCAGTCACCCCACACTGTTGATGAGATTACAGGAGGGTCACGTTTCAGCCGAGACCACAGTCTGAACACTAAAACACTAAACAGGTAGGTGAGGATAAGCTAACTGCCTAGCTCTGTTACTACCAACGACGACGGCTACAAAACACTTGTTGCTGGCGAGCTGGTGAAGAATTAATGCAACATTAGCTGGATACTTGCTGTCTGCTTCATTTCTAATGAGCTCGCGTCACCTTGCTAGCTAGCATGCTGGCTAATTACAGAAGACTCGCTGCTTACAGACGGGTGGGAGATTGTTGGCACTGAAGTGCTCGAATTTTTTTTAGCTCTAGTTGCATTTCGGGACAGTGGTCATATTCCTCTCCACGTTATGTCCTTTTAAGATTAGTGCATTAAGACGTCCTTGCTATTTAGAAAGCTTAAATATTAAAACGTTGGACTCCCTTTAAACAAGATCTCTCCTGTTCTTCCTCACTAGGACTGGAAGATGCACTTGAGATAATGTTAATAATGTTGTTTTTGGTCAGCTGCAGTCTTCTCCCTTGCAAACTGAACCCACGTCTGTTGTGTAAAATGTTTGACAGGCTTCATTGTGTAAATTTTCGCTGTACCTCTCTTAATTTGCATGGTGTTTAAAATTAAATTTGTAGTTTTAACTCTCTTTTCCCGAAAGCCTCGGTAAGCCATGCTCCGACTTGTCAGAAACCAAATCAGGGGGCTGACAGGCTGCAAGTGCAGCCTGCAAAGGTCACACCATCACAAGTCTGTGATGGCTATCCGGCGTGAGGACGTCAACGTATGGGAGAGGCGAGCACCCCTTGCTCCCCGGCACGTGAAGGAAATCACTGCAGCAGGTTACAAAGTCCTGGTGCAGCCCTCCAACAGGAGAGCCATCCACGACAGAGTGAGTAAGCAGGGTCCTCACAGTCACGATGACCAAGACAATATGTTAGTCATCGCTGTAAGTGCTGTTTCCAGTTTATTCCAGTTTAATGACCAACATCTTCTCAAATCATTAAGGTCTATAAGTTTTGAATAGCCAGTGTAGTTTTCTTGTTAAGAAAACCGTAAGTTAATGTCGGGTATTAAAAAATCTTCCTGAACTTTTCAGCCGAAACACCTGAAAAAAACTAGAAAGCGTTTTAAAAAGAGAAGTTGCGCATTTGAACATGTGCAATTAGGAGAAATCTGACTCACACTTACGTCTTTCTTTTAGTACTATGAGAAAGCAGGAGCCATCTTACAGGATGACATCTCAGAGGCTTCTCTCATTGTCGGTGTAAAGAGACCCCCAGAAGACAAAGTCCTCCCAGATAAAACCTACGCTTTCTTTTCCCACACCATCAAAGCCCAGGAGGCTAACATGGGACTTTTAGATGATATCCTCCAAAAGGTAAAGCTCTGAGGAATAATTTTCCAATATTTAGGTTTGTATGTGGTCCCAATGCACTTTATTTAGAAGCAGACTTAACTTCGCCCAAAACATTTTGGAGGTGTTTTTTCCCCTTCAGAATTCTTGAAATGCAATTTATTTTTTTTCTGCTAAAGGAATGGTAAGTAAGGAAGCATGAGCAGGTGTTTCACCTTTAGTTCTCTCTTTACAGAATGTGCGGCTCATTGACTATGAAAAAATGGTGGACGAGAATGGTTTCAGAATTGTTGCATTCGGAAAGTGGGCTGGTGTTGCAGGTAAAGAAAATGCACATTGTGTAAGAATACGAGAGTATCCTATGGGAGGTTACTTAATTCAGGTGGTGACCTTTATCAAAGTCCATGAATGTAGCTTGCCAAATTGTGAAAGTTTCTGTGGACTACTTATCGTGATTTGTGCTGCACAATTTGTTCAGATGATAAAAAGAGAATAGCCACTGGTACTGAATATGGCTCTGGGAAAGGCTGCTGTATGTCTAACCTCTTCAACTAATTTTTGGTCATTCCTGCAGGGATGATTAATATTTTACATGGTCTGGGTCTGCGTTTCCTCGCCCTTGGGCACCACACTCCCTTTATGGTATGCATTTCTTTCGTCCATGTTTTTTTTCTTATTTTGTTTTGTTTTTTGTTTTCATATAGAAAGCCAGACAGTGTCACTCTACAAAAATGGCAGAGAATATTGCTTTCATTGGTACAAAAGCTGCTTTTTATTTTTGGAGCTTTTTGTGGAAAATGTTTGTTCTCAAAGCATTACATTTTGTCCAAGGCCACCAAGAATAAACTTTTATAATTTGTAAATATGATGTGGATTTCAGGGTGCTTAACATGTCTCTTTTTTCTGATGATAATGTAACAGCACATTGGAATGGCACACAATTACAGGAATGTCAGTCAAGCTATCCAAGCTGTAAGGGACTGTGGCTATGAGGTAGCACTTGGCCTCATGCCCAAGTCCATTGGTCCACTCACGTTTGTGTTCACTGGCACTGGCAATGTATCTAAGGTAAAACTGACTGAAAATGCAAAGAATGTACATTAAATACAATGTGAACGTAAAATGGACAGTAATCAGTTATTAATCTTCTGTTTCTTAATCAATTTCTGTAGGGTGCACAAGACATTTTCAATGAGCTTCCATGTGAATATGTGGAGCCACATGAAATGAAAGAGGTCTCTGAGTCAGGAGGTACAACCACCCCTCCTATTTTATTCCCTGTAATATGAATGTGTAGTGTTTCTATTTTTTCTCTGTATGAGTGACAAGGGGGCCTTAAGTTGTGTTGTATGCATGCATGCATTTCCTGTGTTTTAACTATGCTTTTCGGATATAGTTTGTTGATGTTTTGATGTAACTGCAGACCCCACCAAAGTGTATGGCACGGTGATCAGCAGACGCCACCATCTCATTCGAAAGAGCGATGGCGTATATGATCCTTTTGAGTATGAACACCATCCTGAACTCTACACTTCACATTTCAGATCCAGCGTGAGTACTACCACCACAGATTTGAAAGACTTTATGCTTTTGCTGATTCTGAGATAATGGTCCACAAAGCTAGGGATGAATGAAAGTGCTGAAAAATGAAGTAAATATATGTCGTGCAGTTTTGTCATTGTAAAGTAAATGTTCCTCTTGTAACTTGTAGTCACTTGTAAAAAATTATTTGATTATTTGGTTGTTTGGTTATTTGGTTTAGTCTCTAAGGCCTGTTTTGTTTAGCAAATGCCAACCTCCAAATGACTGATTTGTGGGAAAGTCAGGTTCAGGAACATCTAGAAACTTAAAATGCTCTTCTTTTCTTTATAGTTTTTGTGTCTTTATTAGTCAAATGTACTTTTATTTAATCTACTATTAGGGAACTACTTATAGGGAACATTAAACTGCTGGTTATTAGATGCCTCCAATTTTTTTCTATAATTCTCCTGAAAGAAATGTCAGACAAAGTCATACTGGCCTATTTTCAGAGACCTGCCTGTTTTGTCATGCTTTGATTCAATGAGCTGAGTTGTGAGTTTAAAGAGCAGCTTACAGATTATCTTGGAGATCTTGGATATTGGAGCTCAAGATCATGTAATGATAAAGATTTTCTCACCCAGTGGAGATGCACTCGTTCATTTTGAGTTTGTTTTTTGAGAGGGCAGCTTAAAATGTGAGCTGCATCACATTGCATTAAGAGAGTCCAAGAAAGAAACTAATGTTGCCCCTTATGTTCAAAGGTTGCACCCTATACAACCTGTCTGATAAACGGCATTTACTGGGAACGACACACTCCTAGGTTGCTAAGGCGACTGGACGCACAGAAACTCATGAAACCTTCAAAACCTTCAGCCTCTGCCACTGAGGGCCGGCCTGAACTGCCACACAAGTGAGCTTTTTACTGTGATTACTGTGCTTCTGAATTACTGTATAATAATGTGGTATTATCTGCTGTTTAAAAAATGAATATTAGCAGTTATCAGTGTAGCTCCTTCAGCTCAAGGCTGTGAACTTGTTGAGAAGTCCTTGGATGCGCATATCTTCTACAGTGTTTGGTCTTCAAGTTGTGTGCAGAATGAGCCTTATGTAATCCTCCATTACCTAAAATGCACACTTTAAACTCTATGCAAATCTGAGCTTATTGAAAGCATACTCCATATGAAATGTTTTTTTTCTCTTTTCTTCTTCTTGCTCATCTCCAGGTTCTTGGCTATATGCGACATTTCTGCAGACACAGGCGGCTCCATTGAGTTCATGACAGAGTGTACCACCATTGAGAAGCCCTTCTGTATGTATGATCCCAACCAGCACATAGACCATGACAGGTATGGCACTGAGTGTCTTTTTTGTGGTATCAGAAAGCCCTTAAGCTATAGAGAGTGTGGATATAATATACTTCTGCACTCTTAAAAATAAAGGTGGCAAAAGGTGAAGCCATAGAAGAACGACTTTTGATTTCTTAAACGATCACTTACCTTTTTTGTAAATGAGACATATGAGTAGGAAGAATCTTTTTTGGAAGTCTAAAGAATCTTCACATGATAAAGGTGTATAACAATTAAAGGTTTTTCCTAGAACTGTACATTTTTTTAAGAATATATATGTATACAGCATTCATGTATTTCACATTCACTCAACAACCATGTCCTTTTTTCTAGTGTGGAGGGAAATGGCATTCTCATGTGCTCCATTGATAACCTGCCTGCCCAACTTCCCATTGAGGCTACAGAGTATTTTGGTGACCGCTTGTTCCCCTACATCTGGGAAATGGTAAGATCTAGTACTTAAGGGTAAGTAATAAAACTCATCTGTATCAGTTTTGGTTTGGTTTGTTTTGGAGAAGGCTGCACTGGATAGAGGCAGGTTTGTTTCTGTATATTAAGCCTTACTTTTAACGTGGTTTGTTAATTAACAGTGCTAAACTTCAGCTCTTCAACATCACATGCCCTGCTATTAACAGTGCTGACTTGCAGCTGCTTAATGTCACATGCTCTGCTGTTGGTTTTCAGTTATTTTGACTTTGTGTTTATCCCAAGCTGCCCTCAGATGCAACCAAACCACTGGATGATGAGGACTTCTCTCCTCAAGTGAAAGACGTAAGTGTGGCAAATATGTCCTAATAAACTTTCTTCTAGCCAATTGACCAGCAGGTCTTATTTATGTCTGACATTGAACTGTGTGAGACAGTAACAGTATTGTGGTTTGGTTTATATAAATGTGCTTTAGCAGTTATTCCCAGCTGAAGATTGTTCAGTAGACATCTTTTGAATAAACGCTTACTAGATCTTTCTCCTTTTTTGTCACTAATTTTAGACAAAATATTTCAACAGGTTTTGGTTAAATTTTCTATCTTATGAACTTGTTTTTTTGTTAATATTTTACGCACGTCTCCCTCAAGGCTGTAATAACATCCAACGGAAAGTTGACTCCCAAGTTTGAGTACATTGGGAAGCTAAGAGAGAGGAGGTAAGGAACATAGTTTTTTTTTAATATGTGATCAATCCAAAAGCCAAATCCAAGCCAAAAGTTTTTTTTATTGTATAGAAATGGAGGATGTCTTTTAACTAATTGAAATGCAAGAGCTAAGTCATGTTTGATCAGATAGATCAGAAAACATAAAAGTCACATAAAAGCAGATTTGTTGATTATTATCACTAAGACATAAAATTGCTTGTGAAACTGTTTTGAAAACAATACACTATACTTCAACTTCATGGATGTTGGATACATGAAGATATCTCCAAAGACCAGAGGACAGGTAAAGCCTACAAAAATAGCATTTGTAGCCTACATATCATATGTGCTCATTTCAATTAGGTTTGCCTGTTTTGTGTCTTCCAATTCAGGTCATTAAGTTCAGACGGTGGTGGGCTTTGTATCTAGATGTAGTTACATGTACCTTATTAATGCAAAGCTGAATAAGTAACCAGGTTTATAGTTAGCCGTTGGCATTTGCATAGCTAATAGGGCTTAAACAACATTGACAGCATTTTCTACCCCTGGAAAAAGATTTGAGTGAGCATTTGTGTGGTTAGTGCCCTCCGTGCAGCAGACTGGGGTTTGATGCCCCGCACAGGCAGGCAGGCACACCATGCTATAACAGTAGAAGTCCTTGGGCGAGACTCCTAATGCTGCATTCGCCTACTTCTGTGACATTGTAAGTCACACTGGAAAGAGTATCTGCCAAATGTATAACTGCAAATTTCTGTTATTATTATGTTAGTCATGTTAATCAGCATTGAGTAATACTGATAATTTGTATACACTAGTGATTTTAAATTATTTAGTAGTGATGACCAGATATAGCAGTGCCCCCTGACTTCATTTCTAGAAAAGGTTATTTCTCCATCTGTCCACACTAACATCCAGCCATGTCTGTTCTGTTCAGGCACAGTGCGGTCAGCGTGTGGTTTGTTTGCCTTCCTCATTGCCTTAACACCTTGCATGGCTAGAGCGTTCCTGCTTGAGCGTCCTGTCATGGGTAGACCATCTCATTCTCTCACCACAGCCGCCACATCTGCCTCCTGCTCCATTAATCTCTAAGCTTGATTTTTGGCATGCAGCCTGACATATATTTGTTAATTTACGTATTAACAATGCCATCTGAGATCAAAAATCGTCTGAATGAATTCTCACACCTATCTAATCCAAAAGATTTCTTTCAGTGATTGATAAATCATCATAATGAGTAAGCTTTTTCACTATAAAGAAGCTCTTTTGTTTGTATATAGCTTCTCTCCACAAGGCCGTCTATTCTTTTTCTCTTCCTAGATGCCTAATTCATCCTCCAACAACTTGCATGCAAAAAGCTTTTGACTAACCCTCCTGTGCTTCTGGTAGTTGACGGTGCCTCTTCGGCTGCACTGTCCATTCTTCCATTTTTTATTTATACAGTAGATGTGCATTGTCATATAAGGTCCCAGAAATCAGTGGAATTGTGTGATTATTGATTGGATTTCTCAGTCTGGTGTGTGTTCAGCGTGTTGTGTGCTTATTGTAGTTGGGCTTTACATTGATATTACTCTCCATTTAATCATAGAAGGACTTTAAAATCAAGCTTGATAGATTTGTTGAGTAACATTTATGTAAATGTGTCTGTTCAGATAATTACAACTATGTAATTAGGAAACATTACCCTCAAATCTTGAGGAAGTGGTTAAGGGCTTCTAGGTTGCATTTGTGCACATGTGCAGTGTCAAATCCAATTAGGCTAAACACGGCTGGTTGGCTGACATCGACTCCCGAGGGTCTGTCGGGCTAAAACGCTGATTTAGCAGCCTGTAGTAGCACTGTGGGATTAAAGCATCCATGGTGACAAAGTACTGATGGCTAAATGAGGGGCAGATTTCTTCTGTATCACCACAGATCTCAGTGCCAACTCTAACTTCAGTGCTCAATTTTTGCTGTTGATTCTGTTCTTGAACTTGCTCTACAGTGCCTCACTGCAAATCTAAATGCTCTAAGCACTTTTCTGTAACGCTCTTTAAACACAACACAGTTAAACTGACACTCTTAGTTGAGCAAAAACTGGCAAAAGCTTGGTGCAGCATCAAATAAACATCAATCTCAAAGAAGTGAACAATTATTTTCAAAAATAATTATATTGCATTTCAGTTGGAGATGGCATGATACCACTTTTTCTTTTGTGATACTCATACTGAACGCTTGAGTATCGTCTAATGTCGATCTAATGCGTTTATTCTTTTTTAAAATCTTTAAAAGCTTTAGAATGAGCTATTTTAATTGAAGCACTTCACTTTAAGATGATAATCTAAAAGAAGTCTGACGTTCAAACTACTCAAACACAGTACTGCCCCACAGGAGGAAATACACAGCTAACAACATCACATCACACAATGTGAGTGAGTGCTCACACTGATTTGTTACAGGATTGAATTACATTCTTTTTCTCCCTCCGATGCATTTTAAGTGTTACAGAAAAGTGTTTTGAACCTAAACATTTGGATTTACAGTGCAGTGTAGTCTAAAAACAGTTCAGTTTTTAGTCCAAATCTTAAGTGTTAATAAAATTGTTGCCAATGATCCATTGAAACCCAGCTTTATGCCAACATCCTCATTCTTGTATATTGCAAATTGTTTATTATGAAATTACAAATTCTAATTGAAGCACAATTGATCTGCTCAGTAATGTATGTGTGTTTAAGTATACAATCCCAATTTAGCATAATGTGATTGTAAGACCATCAATGTGTTTGCTTCCCCTGCTTTCAGTGGTGTTTGTGTTTTTTCTTTTTTTCTCTTTGTCTTTTAATCAGTAGTTTATCACTTCATGCTGTAGAATGTGTGTGTGTGTGTGTGTGTGTGTGTGTGTATCAGTAGTAATGGCTGTACCATCTGGCTCGCAGGGAGTCTGAGCAGATCTTGAAGAAAATCGGGATGAAGCGTGTGTTGCTGTTGGGCTCTGGCTATGTGTCTGGGCCAGTCATTGAGTATCTCACCAGGGATGCTGGCACTCAGGTCACAGTGGGTAAGTGCTTTCAGCCACAGAAATCCTACTAGGCTTCTTTAACCCCTTAAAAAAAGGCTTATTATTCAGTTATGTCTCATCATGTATTATTCATAACTACAATTAATTATTCAGTAATTACTGTGTAACTACAATGTAAATACTTCAATAATTAGTGTGGACCCATATGAGTCTTTAGTGTTTTGACACCAGTCTCACACTGTTTTTTTTTAGTCACCAAATCTTAAACTAATTCTCTTGTGGCTGTTTTCACTGTCTTGTTTTAGCTAGCGTGCTTCTGAGCCAAGCTGAAGAACTGGCTGCCAAATACCCTAACACCATACCTGTGATGCTTGATGTGACCAGCCAAGAAGGCCATCTTGAGTCTCTGGTGAAAGACCATGACCTTGTCATCAGGCATGAAGGCTGCCCATGTCATGAACACAAAGCTCTGACTTTCTTTTCCCATTACGTATTCTAAATCTGGTTCCTTAACGTTAGAGCTGCACAAGATGACCAAAATACCAAATTGGTATTATATTTCTGTGATATTGCTGCATATTGTGTTTGCAATATGTCTTACAGTATAATAAAGACACAATGGTGAACCGTTAATCAGATATGAAAAAAGATTGGCCAAATTATTTTAACCAAATTATTAGGTATGGTATTCACCTGACTGTCTTGATGAATCAAAACCAAGCACAGAAGCTCATACGGAAAGTCCAGTGTTGGTCAGAATGCTAACAGCACACAATAAAAATGTTTTGTTAAAGGGCTCATTTGCTTAGTGCAGCCTCCTAGTGTAACGGTCATCATTAACATGCAATAACAATTAACAAACAATATATTGTTTAGCCGTACCTCATATTATTTTGCTCTAAACAATTTGTGGAGCAACATTGCAATCAGACTCTCATGCTTTTTTGTGTTTAGCATGCTACCTTATAACTGTCATCCTCTGGTGGCTAAGCATTGCATCACGAAGAAGGTGAACCTGGTGACAGCTAGTTACCTGAGTCCAGCCATGAAGGAACTTGAGAGAAGGTTAGTATGTTTCAAGCTGTAAACATCATTTAAAGTCGTCTTCTGATGTTGTTTGACAAGTAAATAACTCGACTAGCCTCAGTGTGCGTTCCTATTGGCTGCTTTCTCATTGACTGATCTGTTGACATTGCTGTATCGTGATTGGATGTTTTGCCAGTGCTGAAGAGGCTGGCATCACCATAGTCAATGAGATGGGCCTGGACCCTGGCATTGATCACATGTTGGCCATGGAGTGCATCGACCAGGCCAAGGCAGACGGTTGCACTGTAGGTATTGTGTGTTTGTGTTCACTCGTCATGTGTGTTTATGGATATGTGTGATGGTGTGAGATATCGCCATTGGTAGAATCATTAGCATGCGTGGGAGACATATGACTTGGCTCAATATATTGACACTTTATCTTGCATGTTCATTTTCACTCATTCTTGATAGCCTGGAGGAAGACGAGCCTTTTAGCCTTTTTGTGTTCTGTGTGCACTGCTGCCGATTCACAGATGTATTTTTGTGTATGCTCTCTCACACAGGTGGAGTCATACAGCTCCTTCTGTGGTGGTATTCCTGCACCAGAGTGTTCTGAAAATCCACTGCGTTACAAATTCAGCTGGAGTCCATATGGAGTGTTGCTTAATACCATCAGCCCTGCTGTCTACCTCAAAGACAACCAAGTAATGAATGCATGAAACGAAAAGCAAATAGGACAATATTGCTGCCTTTACATTTTCTTTTATTGACATCTCCTTTGTCAGGGTCATCATATGTGTGTATATATATATATATATATATATATATATATATATATATATATATATATATATATATATATATTATATATTATATATATACCAGTATCTCTGTTGAATGTTAACTGTGACCTGTGTTCTCACACAAGGATATTTTTATTAGTGATCCGTGGTGGACTGCTGAAACTTCTCGAAATGTTTGCTTTTTGTCTCCTTTCTCAGGTGATCAATGTTCCCCCTGGTGGTTCTCTACTGGAAGCCACAACGCCCATGGAATTCCTGCCAGGTTTTAACCTGGAGGGCTTTCCCAACCGCGATAGCACTAAATACGCTGAGGCTTACGGCATAGAGTCTGCACACACAGTAATCAGAGGGACTCTGCGCTTCAGGGTACCCCAAACAACTTTTCTGCAAGATCTTCCACACCGGAGCAACTTTCAGTACATATATTACAGAATGATGCATATTAGCAACAAGTAGAATCATGTTAACCTGATTATAACTACAATACTAGCGTAAGCAGTGTTTACCTCTGCTGCCACATAACCATGTTTGCTGTTACTGGTTTGACAGGTTCAGTTTGACTCATATAAACCAATTATATTTGACTTCATTAACTTGCAGGAAGTTTTTTTAGTCTGCTTTCATCCCTTTATAACAGATGAGAAAAAGTGTGATGGCCTGGATAAAACTTGCCGTACACTTCTGTATTTGTTTGTGCTTATTCCTGCAGGGCTTCTCCAGTGCAATGAGCAGCTTTGTAAAACTTGGACTTATCAACACAGACCCTTGCCCAATGCTGGAACAGACAGCCAGCCCTGTCTCTTGGGTACACACTTAATTTGCTTAACAATTATAAGTCATTGTAATATATAGAGTTGCATGGCTCATGCTGAGTGTTTTGTTTCCTGTCCAGATTCACTTAAAGACATTGTTTAGTTATTACTTATTACCATATTCTGTACCAGTTTTTTGATTGTGTGTGAAAAAAGGTTATGGCTAGTTCTTGCAGGATTTATTACAGCTTTAGCAGGCTTTAGTTAAAGACAATGAAGTGAAGCTTCTAACAGCTGTCTAACAGCTTTGAGTCGTTAGCAGGGGTGGACAGATCTGCTTTGGCCACTCTGGCCACTGCGGCAATGAGTCTTGTGGCCAAAATTATTAATTTGTTGATAGAATTATAGGAACATGTTTATGTAGCATTATGTAGTATTTAAGTTAACAAGCATCTTGCAGTACCAAAAACTAGTCAGGTGTTGCTTTTCGTTAACAAATCTCCAACAACCACTACATTTTTTTTCATTATGTTCAACAAAACATTAGTACCTTCTCAGTCATTCTCCAGCCACACAAATTCTTTCTTTAACTCAACTTTCTAACTAATTTTTTTTTTTGTAGTCATCACTATCTGATTAATTTATATTGTCAGCACTGCCACAGATAGTAATTGTTATTACTGTTAATATTGTTATTATTTTAATAACCCAGCCCTCAGCAGACTATGACAGAATATTCAGAGCTCTATAAAGAAGTTGTCACTTGCTGTCATGTTAGTTGGAGGACTGATTTGAGTTCTATGTCCAACCATAGAGGCTCTGGGTGTTGTGCAGGAGGGTGCAAAGTTATTATGTAATTAATGGTGAATGTTTATAAATGGTTAAGTGGTCTGGTAGTTTGATAAATAAAAATATAAATAAATTATATGTAGTAGCCTAAATCTGAAATGTTGTGGCCCCGGACAGTAGGAAGTGTCGACCCCTGGTCATTAGTAATCTGTAATTTTTATATTCTTACATAGTGTGTTATATGCATTGTTTATACATTGATGTCTTTTAATGATGAGCATAAAAAATCTTTTTGTGGATTCTTAGTCTTGTATAATTTAGATAAGATTTTTTACAAGCTTTAGTTTCATGGGTGGAGGGGAGAGGGGTGTAGGAATTATAATAATTTTGCAGTTCTCATGCTTCTGTTTTCAGTCTTAATGACATAGCGATCAAAACATGCAAAGCCTAAATGAAAGCCTTCTTCTTGTCAGTCAACAGGGGTTTTACTACTGGACACAGTATCAAATACACAGACCTCTTTTGGTTATTGAAAATTTGTTTGTGTTATTTGTTTAGGCGGCATGGTGTGCAGTGGGTAGCGCTGTCGCCTCACAACAAAAAGGGCCTGGGTTCGATTCCCGGCCAGGTGACCAGGGCCCTTTCTGTGTGAAGTTTGCATGTTCTCCCTGTGTCTGTGTGGGTTTCCTCTGGGTACTCCGGTTTCCTCCCACAGTCCGAAGACATGCGGTCAGGCCAATTGGACACGCTAAATTGACCCCAAGAGTAAATGTGTGTGTGATTGTGAGTGTGAATGTGTATGTCTATCTGTTTGTCTGCCCTGCAATGGACAGGGAACCTGTCCAGGGTGTATCCTGTCTTCTGCCCAATGACAGCTGGGATGGACTCCCTGTCACCCAGAAGGAAGTTTTAGAAAATGTGTGTGTTATTAGTATATTGTAATTTTAATCATGTTTCCCCTTCTTGCATACAGAAAGAGCTCCTGTGCAAGCAGCTTGGCCTGTCCTCCTCAGTTAACAATGACTCCTTTGAGGAAGCTGTGTTCAACCAGATAGGGAGAGATGAGTTCAGAATGCAGACGCTCAGATGGTGCGTAGTGAACAATGCTAACATTCTTCTTGGAATTTGGTGTAGATATTTTAATCCAGGCTGAGATGGGTTATATTTGTACCACTTTAACAGGCTTGGAATGCTGAATCACGAGCCTGTGCCACACGCTGGCACCATCCTGGCATCCCTCACTAAGCACCTGGAGGCCAAGCTCTCTTTTGGTAAACACCCGTAAAAAGTTCCATTGGTCTCGTGCAGAAGCATTGTCTCTCTCTGGGAACAAAGGCTAAATAGTTTGGATTCTGTTTTTCTATTCCAACAGATAAAGGTGAGAGAGACATGATCATCTTGAGGAATGATGTTGGCATCAGGCACCCAACTGGCGAACTCGAGATGAAGCACATGAGCCTGGTGGTCTATGGGGACCCCAATGGCTTCTCAGCCATGGCCAAAACAGTGGGATACCCTGCAGCTATTGCAGCTCGTATGCTGCTCAATGGTTAGTGACCACAAACAGTGTAAACCACAGCTACGGATACTAGAACAGCTTAAAAATTGCTGTGCAAAAAAACTCATATCTCTGAAATAATAACTTTATTAGATTAACAAATAAACTTTATGTTAATGTTAAGAGATTTTATTTCAAGTACTTGTGGATCAAAATTAAGCTAAGACCGTCTCTAGTTGGTGTTTCAGATAGTCTAAGCTGGTCTTTGATGTTCAAGGTGGTTGACAGGCTGGACATCCAGATGGACTTGGTGAAAACATACTTTTTGCTGGTACAGTCACGCTGATCGACCAGCTGAACCATCAAATTCAAACGAAACATGCCCTATGTCGTTAACCAGCCTTACGCTTTAACTGTCAATGCTGTATTTTTTCAGCAGGGGGAACATTCAAAATGCTCTTTATGCTTTGTGATAATTTCATGATGAATGTACCCCCTGGTGAAAAAACAGCTTGTACTAGCATTATTCAGCATTATTGCTGTCAGATGAAAATCTGCTTTTTTTATTTTTAAGTTTTTTTCTGACTGCGGTAATATTTCACATTAAATTGACCATTCTTTAGTTGTAATGAAATGTAAGGTGGTCATGTCTTGCTTTCGCAGGTGAGCTGAACACTAAAGGACTTGTGATGCCATTGATGAAGAATATCTATGGCCCAGTTCTGAAGAGACTTCAGGAGGAAGGCCTTCAGGTCATCTCCAAAAGCACTATATCAGAGTAATCAGTTTCATACACTCTGTTCAGGCCTGCATTAATTCAGAGACAGTGAGAAAGCAAGAGAGAAATTGATTGTCTGACAGGCCTTAAAGTACATAGATGTTTTGTTGAAGTATAAATATGTAAAATACGTGAGAGAAAACACTTGTTGACACTGAAACTCAAGAACACTACGAGTATTCTCCAAACATCTATTTTCTTATTTGTTTTCTGCTTTTATGTAAGAAGCTACTGAAGTGCATGGGCTGGTAGGTATAGAGGAGAAAGTCACACTAGTGCAGCCCACTGATGTCATGGTGAAACGGTTTTATTGACTGTCATTATGTTGCTTTGTACTTGTTCTTCAGTGCATATCTGAAATTTGAAATTGTCTAATATATGTGACATTTTTTAAAACTCATTACAGTTTTTCATGCCATTTAAGCACTACAGTACATAAATAGAAATGCTGTTGATTGGGGGCCGTCTGCCGTACTGAAGCACTTTATGGAATATTTGGATTACCTTACCATTGCATTTAATGTAACATGTCAACTGGACCAGTCCTGAGAACTCATTGTTTACAGAAATCATTTTTTATCTGTTGTAAAAAATACTGCTTGGGGTAATTTCTCCAAGCTTTCTCGTGGAGATGACGGTTAATTTGAGTCAAACTGATAAACTAATCATGACAGAACACAGTAGCATGGGTTCTGTTTGAGGTTGGGGAATAAAGCAGTTCCATTAATGGGATTTGTCCATTTAAAATTATTAATGGGATCCTTTATTTAAGATAAAGGAAAAACACTAACTTAGGCTGGTCTTAACCATAAGTCCATCATTCACACCTATCATTAACTAGAGAGGCCCAATTTAATGAAAAGGAAACGCAAAGGATTGATGCTGACATACCAACAAAAATGATTGCTTGCAAGACACAATAGGCCATATAATGGAATCTGTTGCCAAATTTTTGCAAACCCAATAAAATACTGAATATGCTTCAGCTACAGGGGCTCTTTTGCTCAGTGCCTTTTCTTCAGTAGAGCCTACTCTCTTCAGAAATAGTAAAGGCAGGTGACCTGCATATGATCAGCACACCCACAGACTCACCAAAATTGGCATTATGAGATTGGAGATCTGTTTCTAGTGTGTCCGCCTTATGCAGGACAATCCTAAATTATACTTACGGTCATCTTTATTTTTCTCTTTAGGCGTAGAGCAGGGTTTCTCGATTGGTCCTTGAGCTCTGTACATTTTTGTGTTTTCTCTGCTCTTGCACTTCTATTTTAAATCCACACAAGGCTGTGCAGTGCAACAGTACTAGAGGATAATAATTGGAAAAAATGTAGGCCTCAGTAATCAGATCTCTTGAAAATGCCCTCGATTTGTTCTGATGTTCACTAATTTACAGTCTTCTCTCTACTTTTCTGTCACCTTCTCAAAAAAACAGACTTCATGTATTTGTTTCAAATGCATATGTCTATGTTTCAACTTTTTGAATTGCATAAAAAGGATGTACAAAGTTGAATGTTGTTTGTTTTTTGATGGCCTGTGTCAAGTACTAATACAGCAGTTGAACCATGCATCTTAATAGAAAATTTAATATATTTTGTACATTTTAAATTCTACACACACACACACACACACACACACACACACATATATATATATATATATATATATATATATATATATATATATACATTTTTTTTAAACAACCAAGCTTATATTGATCACACAGTAACAGTCACAGAAGCAGTCTTGTTTGCCCCCAGTGTGGATCACTTGGTGAGTCGTCATTAAGTAGGCCACCAAGCTCAGGATAATTGGGTTTGTAATTATTAAAAGTCAAAAATGCAAATTAAGGTAACGATACACTCTGGTCAAGACGGTGTCTGGCCATTTGACCTATATTTCCCTGCAAATGCGCATAACCTTTTGCGTCTTAGACTGGATTAGAACATAGAAATAATTATGGAACGATTCTTGAAACGGATTATGCCATAACTCCATATAGTTGTCGTCTTGGTCATCAAAGCAAAAGCCCCAGTCTTAATGCTGTAATTGTTTTCTTAAAGCTGGCCCTTCCTTATTTCTTTAAGTATAGTCTGAGTAATGGCTTAGAAGGACCACAGAGCCCCTTAAGAAGTGTCTTGCCGTGATCATTATGATTTGAAAGTATTGGGTTAAGCCAGGGCTGAGGTGATGAATGGCTATGTAGGAGTTAATTGGAAAAAGCAACCCTTTTTCACTCCATTTTTGCTAAGTCAGATGACATTCATTGAACCAGGATTGCTAACCTGACCTCATTGATAGTATTAATAGAAGGGAAGTTGTGTGGCAACGTGTAGAGTTAAAACTGACTCGCGCCAAGAGACTTAGTATGTCTTCAAGATGAGTCTGTCCTGAGGGCAAATGGGCAAGAAAGTTTGAGGATTTATGAAATGGAAGCATGACTGATTTTGTGCGGTACTTTAAACAAAATGTTAAAACAGTTATGCTGCTTCATCACAGCAAACCTCATCTAATGCACTAAGCAATTTCAGCGATGGTGTAGTAAAGCTCTGCAGGTCATATTGTAAATATCATCAATGTATGAACAAAACTCTGTATTTCTATTTTTTTATCTTGTATGTTTTGCAGTGTGTCAAAATCTCAACAGAACGGGCCAACAGAAATGGGCCAAAACCTAGAATTTGACCTAACATTGAAAATTAAGAATTTTTTTTTCGGCTCTGGTAAAGTTTCTTTTTTTGGAGATAGAAGGTTTTGTCCTAATGATGATGATGATATGCTCATGACTTCAGCAACCACTGAGAACATTCAGTCCAACCTTTATACTTTTCATATCATTAAGATCAAATAATTTTTTTTTCACTGCATTTAATTTTTTAAACTGAGTGTCAAAATGAAGTCTTAAGAGGTTCAATTTTCAGTGGAGACACAGAAAGACCATACTTTACCCTCACAAAGATGCCAAGTGATTGCTCAACTGTACATTAGAGTAAATTGGCAAGAAATCATGTAAAATGCAAACAACAAAAATAAATAAAATCAAAGACAGTTGTAGTGCAAAACAAGTATCTCCTGCTTATTTGGTTTTATTTGTGTTGTGTTTAATTCTACATGTAGCAGAAACATTTTTATATACAGCTAAAGAGTGTCAGTATAATCACGATTTATGTTAATTCAATGAAAGTACAAAACATTGGGAAACTTCAGAAATATCAGAACAATGTTTTGACTACATTATTAGAGTGCATACAGTGTGAAGCACTACAGTAGTAAAATATAAAAATCTAATCTTATAAATAGAAATTTGGTCCATTGACGTGGTTGCTATAATATTATTTACAAATTAGAATATTATTCCATGACCTTGTCTGAAAACTGTGACGGAAAAAAAAATGCCACATTCTTTGTATTTACATCCATGTGGAAAACAATGTGGCTTACTACAAAATATAGACTAATAAAATATGTCATTAAAAAGTGATTTTCTTCCCTTTCATTGAGACATAATGCCAATAAATATGAAATTCTATTAAAAGAAATTAGTACGAGGTTAGTACAAAGAGGCAGAGACATAGACTACATTAGTCTACATTAAACTGTATCAAAGTGGTTAAACAAGATGAATGAATGTACAAAGGCACACATTCCAAGTTCCAGGATCGCACCATGTCCAGCAATGCGGACTGTCAAATGAAGGTGGTGAACAAACGGATAAAAACAGAGCAGAGCAGCAGGGAAAAGGGAGCGTCCATGTGAGCTGTGTATGCTCGTTGCTATGGTTACACGAGGGATTCCAGACTCTCTGCGGCACTTGCAGGGCCTCCTGGGACTGTGCCGTTGTTGTCGGAGGACTGGAGCGCTTTCTCATCTTCTTGGGTCCCAACCAGACTCAAGATGGCTTTGTAGAGGAATTGGTACTGCTCCTATCAGAGACAGCAAGACCATTGTTTTCATTTGATTCTCTTCAACATATATCACATGTATTAGAATGTATTTCTTCATTTGGCTTATCGTGTGAAAAGAAAGTCGTACAATGTCTGTGAAGATTCCTGGCCTCATGAGGTTGGCCATCTTGGCCACCAGGTAAACATCCACAGAACTGTCAGCCTCAAGCTGCTGGAGCAGAGTGTAAAGGGCGCAGAACGTCCCTGCCGTCACACCCCCATAGCTGCACACACACACACAAACACAGTAACGGAGCTTTTGATCTCTGGGGCTGAGCTAGAGCAGCAGTTTAATTGTATTTCTGTGATGAGAATAATGCGAGAGCTGACATGAGGAATGTACAGCTGTCTGTGCTGACGTAACAGACCTGATGAAGTGTTCTTGTGCATTTATACATCATGCAAGCAAATCATTTCAAGATTTTTTCTTTATTTTTGATGAGAAAATAAAGAATCTGTGAGTTTTTAACAACTCCATATCTGAAAATATATTGTGGCAATTAATGTTCCAAATTTGCTTTCATTTTCATGATAATATTTATAGTAAATTGCTTGATTAAGCCTAGTCTTTGACCAAATTGCTGTGCCAATGGTGAATCACCATTGGAAATTCTGTTTAGTCTAGGCTTAGGCTTAATCTGGGTCTGGGAAACTGGCCCAGTGAGCTCTCGCATGTGAATCAGCCTGGGGACACTCTTTAGAGAATTATGTTAAAAAGAAAAAAAAAAAACTGTAAACAACACCTCCTGCTGGAAAATATGATTTAGATAACCTTGTTGGTTGTTAGCAGCTCTTAGCTTCTTTATCTAAACTGAAGGCATTTATTTCACTTATGCTTTGTAGGAAGACTGTGCACAGAATTATTGTGATGATTAAATATAAGCTGGTATGCAGAGAAGTAGGAGTAGATCAATTCAATGCGGATGCTTTGTAAAGAAGCAAAATGAAGAGAAAATCTTAATGTACAGAATATGTTTCCTATTTTCTATAAGCCATATTTCACCACATATCATAACTTCAGAAATGACTATTCTGAGCTTACTCATCATGTACAACAATGGGCCCCTCTTTAGACCCTCGCTCTCCTCGGATAATGCTGATCAGTTCAAATGTGTTACTGATGGGGCTGTCTGGGTTTGGCCAGCGAGGGGCACGGTAATGCCTCACTTCCAGAACATAGTCATCCTGAAAACACACATAGAGCGAGAGAGAGAATGAGATCATTACACTATGTAGTAATATGAATAAACACAAAAGAGCATTTGACAACCTGTTTGTGTATGCATGAATTTGCACGTGTGTGCATTGGACAGTACTGATAAATGCGCATGTCTGGTATATATGCTACACTAATTGCAGATACAGATGGAGACGTGTTAGGTTTGTGAAAGAGAACAGATGTGTCTGGCTGAGGCATGCTCAGTGTTTACCAGGCTCAACTCTCAGTCTTTTCAGCAGCCATGTGTTTCTCTAAATCAGCTCCACAGTTATTTGGAACGAGTCACTGCATGGATATTCAAAAAAACTGTGATTTAATGTAGTCCTTAAACAGACCACGAAAAGCCTAGGCAAATGTATAGCTTCATAATGTATATTATATAGTTATAGATGTTTATTATGTTACTGCCACAGCCAGATTACCAAGAGTGAAACTGAAGGTCCTACTCGATGTGCCTAGTTCAGCTCAGCTTACTTATGTAAGTGTGGCAGACATCCTGTATGTCCAGTCCATATGAAAATGGAATATATACGTATACGCATACGTATTCAAATGCACTGTGATACAGGTTCTCCAACAGTCCAAGGCAAATCTGAGTGACTCTTCAGCTTCTTGCGGCTAAATGCAATCAAATCCTCACAGGAAATGTTCCAACATCTCGTGTAAAGCCTTCCCGAAAGAGTAGAGGCTGTTGTTGCAGCAAAGGGGGAACTCTACTAATACACTCTATTAAACTCTTGATTTTAGAAGAAGCCTTGAATTGGCCACAATCGTTTGGATGTTGGAACACTGCTGTGAGGATTTGACAGCATTCAGCCTGATCTACTGCTCCTACTCAGGCTACTGATGTTGGATGATTAGTTCTGGATCATAAATGACACTTGAACTCATCCCAAAGGTATCTGATGGTGCTCCATCACTCCAGAGAACAAAATCTCATGCAATTTCCATGACTTTGAGTATTCATCTTAGTGCTAACTGGAAGAGGCATCTGGATACTTTTTTATAAACAGACGACAGTGCATATTGGAATATATTGTCAGTGTACAGTACTGTGCAAAATTGAGAGATCCTCCTTAATTAAACTTTCAGTCAAAATGGCTATTAATTACAAATTACTTATTTTTCAGCATCAGAAAAAGCAGAAAGCATATATTTAATAGAAAATTATACAGAAGCCTCAACAACTAAATATAATATTTTTCTTCAGTATTTAGTGTGTCCACACATTATTACAGCTTCCATTCTTTTTAAGAGACTTGTTCTCGTTTTTCAAAAAAAAACTGCGGGATACTTTCCACACCTTCAAAGTTCAGTCTTAGAAGTTGCATTTCCTGCTTCTTATGATCC